ACAGGAAAATATAACAAACTTCTCTACTCTACACCAGGCCCTGAGACAGAGCAGAACCCAAATCAAAGCTCAGGATGACTCTGTGACCTGGCTGCTGTGGTATGCAGTAGTTCTAAGGTGTTCCCACTGGGGCATCCTTTCTCCCAGCCAGGGTAGCCACAAACATCAAGAGCTCTCCTGGCACACAAGGCAAAAGCACCCGTGCATCACCCAGAGCCCTGCATCTCACAGCAGACATTTTGAGTAATCGAAGGCAGAAGTAAACACCTCACTAAAAATAAACAGAACTCAGCATAAAGGTCTGAGAAGAAAAGGCATTTTTGAACAGCAAAGGCACCAGCACAGCACCGGGATGCATCTGCAAGGGGGGAAGGAAGGGCTAATGGCATTACAGCCATGACACACCATTACTATTCACGGCAAATATTTTCTGTAGTGAAATGTAGCACATTATAAACCACCCATGACCACTCAGCTGGTTGGAACATTTGGCTGCTTAAATATTCTAAATGTGCTGGAGGAGACAGCTGAACTAGCAGCTCAGGGCCAGGAATTACCCCCAGGTCAAACTCATTTACATAAATGACATTTTCCTACACTTCTGGAAATAAATGGTCCTGAAAACTCACAGATGCTTAGTACTGTGCTAAAAACTGCATCAGGCATTTGAATTCCTGCATTTCTTGGGGTCCAAGTTTTCAAGAGGACAGCAAGCTCTCCCAGAGAAAGCTACATTTTCACCAGGGTGCCCTTCCCCTACATTTCAGCTTGATCCACCCATGCCCTGACCCAGGAGTGCTGTACATCCAAAACAGGTATGCTCCCCAGCAGCCAGGACAGCAAGCATGACTATCCATGAGCCTTCCCTTAAGGGCACGAGCAACATGCTCCACCAAGTGTCCAACCTGCAGTTTTCAGTGTTTTGGGCTGTGCTGGAGCTCCTCTCCAGCAGGCTCACGTGTGGTGCTTCCTGCAGACCACACATCAGCAGCACACACAGGCAGTGGCAGAGGGAGCAGAGCAGTAACTCAGGTGTACCCCAAGCTCAGAATGTGACCTTGTCCTCAATGCACACCCAGTACTCCCACAAGCAAACACCTCCACACCACTCACCCAGGCTGCAGTGTCAGTGACAATGACAGCAGAGAAACCAGTAGCATGTGGCTTTTTGTTCAATTTTACCATTCTTTTCTTGTAGTTCCTTACATTGCACACAAAGCTCTGTGTGTGTATATATTTCCATAATAATATAAGGATGAATTTCAAGGAACACATATTCGTGGTGCATATTCCAAATGCCATCCCTGCAGCTCTCAGATAGCAGCCCCAGGATAATTTTCCTATACAAGGATCCTTTTTATTTTAAGGCTGAAGTGACATTTCTTTTTTATTGTTTACTGAAATACAATGAATGGGATGACTTTCTATGTATGAATAAAAATTACTAGTGATATAGGGCAGGAAATGTATAGAGGTACAAACCCTGGATTTATTTGTAAAAAAGATCTTCAGAAATACCTGCAATCATTTTGCACATCTGATCATTCATTTTGTGCTTAGTGACAAGAGGTACCTCCCTGCATCTCTTCCCCTAGATCCTCAGCTTGCTTGTATATTTTGTTTTTCAAGGATCAACACGCTTAGACAGATACTTGACAACTTTAAATCTGACAATATTGAAATCTGTGCAAGATAATCCACAAATGTAACACAGATCTGTACATCTCTGCTATGAAAGTAGGTTTTCTTTTCACACATGTGTCCAGAGCTCCAGACCAAACCAGCATAGCTGAGGTATACTGTAGAGATTTTGTTTAGCAGAATAGCCAAGAAGACTCAAGTCTAGTTCACGTACAACCATTTTTAATTTAGCTTATACATGTAAACTCTCTGGGACTGGACAGAATACTCCACAAAATTAAGCACTGGATCCACAACACAAAACCTAAGGTTACTCATGTCATAATTTTTTTCTCAGGCATGTATTTTATCATATGGCATGCTATTGATTTGTGCCTATTTTAAAAAAACCAAAGCGCGTGCTTGTGAAGCCCTGAGTATTAGCTAAAGATGCTGTTCCACATAACACTTCATGATCTCATGGATGAACAGGAGATCCTTAAAAACCAAGTCTCTGCTGTGATGAAAACCAGCTCTGGCAGTGCAAAAACAACACACACACAAATATCCTTAAATAGCCATCAAGCACAGAAACCTTGCTGCTTGTGAATTGCATTATTTCCATATTTGCACCATAATCCCACTGCGTAATGTTTAGCCTTTATGCTACGCTGTTTCAAACAGTGGTCAAAAATAAAAAAGATACCATCAAAAATACAGTAAATCTGCATTTTTTGGACCATCTCCATTTGTGGCATTTACAATATAGCAGGTCTTAAACAGGAAAAGACCCCAAATAGATCACTTTCACACCAAGAAGAGGGGATCCTTATAGTTTTGTGCATTCTGTGACACAATAAAAGCACAACTCACATCCTCAGTTTTGCATTTGGCATCTATCACAAAACATACCTTTATCATTCACATCTGAAAAAAATTCAGAGGGAAGCAAACCTTTCACAGAAACTTTGAGGCAGCCATTGATCACTCATCCTCTTTTGTCCCCTAAGGGGATAAGGGCAAAGAAGGGAGGCTGTTCTTTCAGTGAACACAAGCTGTAATCTACACCCCACATCCAGGGCTTGATAAGCAGATCTGGACAGAGCCTGGTTTTTCCCACTGAAGATCAGAAGCAAGTCAAGTTTTTATTGTACACATGGAAGACTCTTAGCCATGTGGGGAAAATGGAATATGGAACAGTCAATTACCTGAAAATACAGCTACTTGCCTGAAATCATGGCACATCCATGTTCCACCCTGATGAGCACTAGAATTCACACCTCCAGGGGCTGCTCTGTGTACTGTCCCACCAGCTGATCCAAGATGGTCTTTTCCATCTGCTTTGAATAATTAAACCTATACCAAAGCAAGGACCTCAATCGTACATCAGGGCCACACAAGCAATGAGCTGGCTTCCTGCTATTTTTATCCCAGTTCCTTGCTTTTTGGAAGGAAAGTGTCACATTGAAATAGAACTGAGAGAAGCTGAAAGTAGAAAAGCCAGTTGTGTGCTGTCAGTGTAGTGTAGGTACAGGCTTTGCCTAACCAGAGACTTGAAAACTGCTCATCCATGTTCCAGGTGAGTGTGACAAATATCAGAGGACCTGGACACCAGGATTTAGTCTTCCTCAGGCTAAAGGATTGACAGATGCCCATTTTTGCACTGCTGGTCAGTCTTCTTGGAGACTGAAGCCAATTTTCTTCTATTAATAAAGTTTTGCAAAATACTCCTCTAAAACATAAAGGATATTTAAGCTCTATTCTCTACTGCAGAAAAACCAGTGTAAGAGGCTTATTGCAGAGGAGAACAAAAATACACAGAGATGCTCAAAAATCAATTTTATAAAAAAAATCTCGTATCAGAGGATGGCAACTACCAAACATATCCTTAGTGAGATAACAATTCAGCTCTCAGTGAAAACTTAGCTTCATTAGCCAGTCAGAACCAAGCAATATATAGAATATTCTGAGTTAGAACAGACCCACAAGGATCAATGAGTCCAACACCTGATTTCACACAGGGCAACCTAAAAGCATGTGTCTAAGAGTGTATGTAGGCCATTTAGCCATGTGGCTTCCTGCTTGGCAGCAATCCTGGGCAGCAAGGAAAAGTTCTTTTCAAAAATATAATGATTTCTGAGGCATATACGATTGAAGATCATACAGTTGTTGCATATGTTTAAAACTGCTTCTAGCACATTCTTTTATTTGGGGGCTTACTTAAAAATAATAAGTCAAACTATAGATATACTACCAAAAAAATCACTCCTGATTGTGGTTCATGCATTGCTCACCTTGACCCTGCATTCCAATGATTATACCTCTACCTCTTGGTAAGAACTAAAATTACAGTGACCTAAGCAGCTTCAGGAGAAATGAAATGTGTTCAGCTCACCAAATCTCTGGTAAAGATATTTGAATTTCTTATTTCACCCAAGAGAAGAAAATGAAAAGATATTTTACACTAATAGTCCCCAATATGTTTCTGTTTCTTCCCAGAGCTCTCGCTCAGGATTTGACTCCAGGGCAGACAGGCTGACGCAGAAGTCCACACTTTCATCTGTCCCACCTTTTTAATTAGGATTAAAGTGATTCAGCTTCAACATATACGGTGACAAACCTCTAAGCAAGATTTAAACAGAACTAGGCAAGACAGCATGGTCAATAAAGAACAGTGTAAATTTTGTTTTAAATCTTATTTCCGTTTAAATACAGATAAACAAGGAAGCTGAATAGCACACAGTCAATGTTTAAAATGTAAACTCTATTATTATTCTAAAACTGTATACAGGCTTTCTCTAAACTCACACAATGACGCTCAGTACACTTCTGAAGCGGAAATCAGGGCACAGAAAAGAACAATCATGATGACTCCATGAGGCAACTTTCTGTCACTGCAGTACTGCTGATACTCACTAACTCCTGGTTCCCTCATGTCTGAATTAATGAACAATGGCAAGTATGAATCCCAAACTGAGAATTTAGCATGCTGCACACAACAGCGGATTGCAGCCCCTGTAATTAATTTTACCTATTAGCTCAAAGTTTCCTTTAAAATGGTCAGAAAGCACTCCAGGAAAGTCGACTGTGTAATTAAAAATAAAATTCCTGAAACTTTACATACTGAAAACCAAAGGTAAACCAGAAAATTTCAGTGAAATCAGTGATGCTCTGACAAATTGAATTCCAGGGCACATATACAGTCAAGCCATTTTACTTTGCTCAAGATCACACAGGATGCTACAGCAAAGCAGGAAACAGGAAGATTATCTTAGTATCAATCCAAAACTTTGGTCAGAAAAACATTACTCCAATTCCCTGGCATTATTGCTGACATTTTGCATTGTTGAATTGGAAAAACAAAGTCTCACAAACAAATCATATTAGCATACAATGTTTATTATCTTCTATTAATCTGAAGTCAATCATTTTGATATGACTAAATTAATTCTGAAATAAACAGACATTTTTAAATACATATGAAGATGATGGGCTCCAACATGAGAGTACTTAGTTGGTCTGCACTCTTAATCCACATGCAGGATACACAGATCAAATTATTATACATATCCTTTCACTTTACACTGGACTATAATACAGCACAATTTCTGGAGATGAAAGCAGGGAGGAAAGAAATCGTATTTTCAAGTAGCCCTTTTATTTAAAAAGAGCATCAATGATATATTAAACCATTGTGTTTCTGATTTTGATTTTTCTTACAGTATACACTTTTGTAAAACATATAGCTCATCAATGATACACAGTGGCCCTTCACTAAGGGCAAGTAACCAAAAAAAAAAAAGGAAAATGACAGAAAATAATTCTACAGATTAGAAAAGTCATATTTTAGAACAATTTCACTTCAGAGTGTCTCCAATGTTGCTAGGAAAGGTCATGCACAACATTTCTAATGTTGTCATTAGTCCATGAGAGAAATGTCTGCATGCTTCACATGTCAGAAAGAAAGAAGCTTTCTCCAGTTATCTCTTAGGCCTGTCTGTGTCATCAATGGTAGCTAACAGCTTCTGTCTTGCCTTTTTGTTGATGTAGGTGCCCAGACAAATATTCACCAGATTGGTCAGCTGCTTAGTGGAATATTCCTGGCAAACAAAAACAGATCAAGTTAGGGCAGAATAAAACACCAGACAAAGACAGAAAATTCTAAAATACACAGACATACTCAGTGTGGATTTCACAACTGATAGAAGCATCAGTACACAGGGAAGATTTAAAGCTGTACTGCAGTCACGTCTGGATAGTTTTCATAGTTGAGGCAGAGGACAAAACTGTATTTTGCTACATGGTGGCTTATAATGGAAAATGCTTATGACTTTAAAAGTACTGGAAAGAGTTCACATAAAGTAAGTCTGTGAACATGTATATAAATCAATTTTTAATGTGTTTTCCATTCTTTGGGAGGCTTGGTGGGAAAACATATGCAAATGATTAAGCTTTCAACACAAAACCTTTTTTTTTTTTTTTACAAACTGCGATAAATGTTGGTGATCTTTTTTATTCTGACTTCCCATTTCCAATAAGCTTCTAAATGCTTCTGTCTCCAGAGTCTCCAAACGATTTTGATTTCAGTATATGATAAAGGAGGAAAAAATGTCAAAAATGTGAAGAAAACAATTCTTAACACCTGTGAAAACACCGTATTTGCCAGTAATACCTTTATGTCTTAACACTATCCAAAACATAGCTTCCACCAATGTGTTTTAAAAAAGAGTTTTTTCCTGTAGGTCATCAAACCCCGTAACTCACAATCTCTCTTGGGGTTCCAAGCAATACAAGAAAAATTCAATCAAAGACATATTTCTTTCCTTATTTCTAGTGGGATTTAATCCCAAAATACAGATTTCAAGTGCTTCACTTTAAGAGACTTTTTACTTCAAAGATGGGTATCCCCAACAGCATGTGACTATTACTTACAAAGATCTGTTATAATTGTTAGTTCATGCTAGAATGAAAGCATCTGAACATTTTCAAGACACAAATATAGACTTATCTCAGCAAGAAATTCTGATTAAGCATTATCAAATGAAGAAAGAAAAAGCAATGACTCTTCTCCATTGTGCCTTACAACTTAGTTTAAGCCATCTACTCCTAAAGGCAATACAAAACCTAAAGGTGTGATCCCAAAACGTAATTCTTGATTATCAAGTTGTGCACTTAGGCATATTCTGAAGAGCTCACAAATGTTTTCAATTTCCCTTTCCTCTAGTTATCTACACTTTTTGATACAATAGGCAGATGTGACTGGCTTAGTCATCCTCCCCAGTCAGCACATGTTGAACCAGGTCAAACACATACTAACTTCATATCATAAAGTTGAACATGTCCATGCACACATACACTTATATTTATACTGCTTCATTTATAATAAACATCATTATAATAATAGTTATTATAATGAAACTTCCTGTAAGTTTCATTATAATAAATTAAAATATACATATTTTCACATATGCCTACATTCATTTTTAGCATATAAAGGGATTGATTATTTATAGTTGTTAGCATGCCTTTATCATCAGGGTGAATTTTCTCAATACAGAGGAAAAGAATGCAAATTTAACTCTTACCCTATGTTCTTTTATCCAGGATTCCATGTCATTTTCTGTCAGGTAGTATGCTTTAATGTAGGTTTCCACAAATTCCTTATCTGGAATAGGCCTAATGTCTGTTAACTTTTCTAGTTTCATTAAGAACTGTTGAAAATCCAGTTGCATCAAGGCACGTCCTTCATTGCTGCATTTCTTCACATTGGCATAACTAAAAAGAGAAACAGGGCAAAGCAGAACTTAGAAGGAAATAAAAATTAATTTTGCTTCTCAAAATTAACTTAGTATTTTGAACCTTGGGGAGGAGCAAAATTATGGTTTTAAGTCAAAAGCAGACAAGAACTTCTCTTAGGAGCAGACAAGAACTTCTCTTAGGATGTCTGCTGCGGAGTTTTATTTGCATTAGTACAACACATTTTAGCCCAGTTATTGAACAGAACCCCACTGTACCCAGTGATACTAGGAAAACTCACACCCTCCTCTCCCAAAAGCCACAAAAAATCTTACATTAAACAATTTACTATAAGTAAGTTAGAGGAAATTAAACCAATGCTAATTAGCACACTGGACAGTGGTTTCAAATGATCACAACCACTGGAGTCTGAAAGGTAGCACAGCAGCTTAGGAATGGTCACCAGGAGCTTCCTGAACCAAGTGGGAGCAGCAAAGACACAAAACTACTTGTTCAAAAACAGCCACAGCAACCAGAGGATGAAGGGTGGCAGCACTGGCTCATCTCTGTGAGAAGTAGAGGATTTAATGAGAACAGGTTGACAGGAAATTAGTGACAGGTTAGAGGAGACAGTAGATGAGTTTAAGGGCAGGGTAACACTAGCAAGGATCACAGTGGAGTGATAGGCAACAAACGAGGAAAACAATCTTTGCAGTTCTTCAAATGGATAAGGAACTGCATTTGTCAAGATCAGAGGAACTGACACTGCAATGCCCTTAAGAACACCAGTTTCAACTGTGTACAGGGTCAGGGGCACAGTGACTTGAGAGACTTACACCAGCTCATCCACCAGCTGCTCCCACAAGAGACAACCCTGCCTCACTCTTCCCCTGTACCAAATCCAAAATAAGCTCAGTTTTTCACTGTTTCACAAAGTTAATCCTAATTATTATACACTCCCTAGATTATTAGGTTTGATGCAAAAGAAGCAGCAGAAACATGCAGCTGGAAGCTGAATGCACAGCAAGGTCAGGTTAAGAATATGAAGAAATGTCACACTTAGAGTTGGTACACAGAAAGAATTTGCAGAATGCAAAAGTAACAGAGGCAAAAAGAGAGAGGGCCAAGGCAAAAGTCCTCTGGAGCTTCATAGAAGACTAGCAGATGATTTTCAGTTGGCTTAAGAAGCCAGCTGGGAAACAGGAGAGAATGCAGAACTAGGAGATAGGGAAGGACTAAATTTAAAGAAAGATATAGCTGACTGCAGTGGAGGTAATTCTTCATTCAGTGAAGAGCCTGATGAAAGTAATTTCAGTTAACTGGATGAGTCTTAAAACACTTTCATGGCTTTTAACTCCATACATTCATTGAATGCAGAGATAAAAGAAGTTACAAATTCAGAGAGTCAGCTATTCAGAACACCTTCCTTCCCTTTTCACAGTGGGAAAAGAACCTACAAGATACATAAAAATAACAGAACTGGCCAAGAATAAGAAATTACAGGCAAATATTTGGGAGAAGATGATAATGAGTACTTTTTACACTCTCAGAAATGGTACAGGACAAATTATATCAGGAAAGTCTTCCTAGTCCAACCTGCTTAGGCGAAAGTAAAGGTCAAAGATTCATGGAAAGTCACAAATATGAACCTAAACTGCAGCATGGAGCAAGACATATGAGTGATGATCTTCACAGATAAGAATTAAATGGTTCATGAACACTTAAGCCACAAAAGATGAAAGAGATGTGATGTAAGAAAAGGAAACAAGTTGAAAACAAACACATAGTGTTTGTGATAGTGACTGACAGTGTTATTGACTTGAAGGCAAGGGGAAGAAGAGATAGAGAAGAGATAGGCCTTTGATTCACTTTCTTTTATTTGAAAGTAGAAAACAAAATTTCAAAAAGGAGAGCTAGTTGTATAGGCCACATATTATATGAATAGGAATTGAGAAGTCAGAGACAGGTCATGCATAGATTTAGTTACCCTGAACATGAAATTGTGAGACTGCTAGTGACTGCAAAAGGATGATGGCATGAAAAAAATGAGCAGGAGATTAAAAAATGATGGCTTTATGGAAGCAGTGGAAACTGATGATTCTCAATAGGTAGCTAACACTTGGAGAAGAAGGGTGTTTTGTTGAGGTCCTAATTTAGAGCAGACAGCAGGAGAGTGGGATGGAAAGAAGTAAAATAGGTAGTAGGGAGTGAATAGGCTAAAGATAACCAGGAAAGAAGTATGGAAACATGTAGAGGGAGTGGAAGATAGCACATATTCTATGATGCAGAAGCAGTTCTGGTAAGAGCCCAATCATATGTAGCCCAATCATACGGGACAAAACCATAAAAATAAATTCAGAGAATGAAAAGTCTACAATACTCAGGCTACAAAATTGAATCCAAAAAGACTGGGACACTGATTACAAGAGTGAGGGACGAGCAAGGTGTAGGTTCCTGACTAAGGTGCTCGTGCAAGCCAACTAAGACACCTCTGTTCTTGATGAATTTAGAAAAATCATGTTGCATAGCTACTTTAAGAAAACTGATAGTGCTGATAACTCCATCTTTCTTCCTGGCAAAGATAAATGGCATCACCATGGAAGTACTGACTATTATATTGTAACTTCCTTTTTTGGTCTGTTGGGAAATGATAATTTTCATATAGAAGTTTCTTTGAAGGAGTGCTGTATTTTCAAATGCATCAGTAAAACATTCAATGTCATTCTTCAGCAGTATCTAGGATCAAGACCACCCTCTTTAGGCTTAATGCTGCACCAGATTGTGAAACAACCACTAAGGAGTGCGTTAAGCACTGATAGTTTTTAGGGTCCCCAAAAGCACATGAACTCAAAAGGACACTATCAAATTAGAACTTTTAACTCTATAAAATAAAGATTATCATTATACACATACTTGCCCAAAAGCAAGACTTTCAAAATTCTTACCCTTCCACAAGAGTTCTATTGGCCAAGCGTATGCAGTGCTCCCAAAGGATGTTGGAGACTGGCAATGGAATACGGACTCTCTTAGACACATCATTCAACCTCCTGTTAAATTCTTCAAATTCCTAATAAAACATAAAAGATGTTTATTCCTTAAGGTAAAAACATATCATACTCTCTACATCCAACAACAGCAACAACTAATTAGAAATACACATGAAAGAGAATACTGAAAAATAAGAGCAAAGAAGAGAGGCTTAATAGGCACAAACCATAGACAACTCAGTGTGTAAAGTAGAAAACATTTCACTTTCTAGTGTATCACTCACAACATTACCTCAGTGATTTTTTTTAAAGGAACTGTTGCTCTGTTCCCCAGAGCTGTAGTTCTCTATGAAATTGACACCTCTGAAAATGAACCAAGTAGCTTATCCTTCAAATGCCATTTTCGTTGCCTTACTCCCTAAATTCATATTTAACTTCTTTAAGTCAAAATACAGCCACTGAAGAAAATTCAGGGATGATCTTTTTATCCCTCTAAACACCCACCCCCACTGGCTTTCAAAGAGAAGCTCAGAAACATTGTAACCACTTTTCATTCTTCAACCTTTCACATTAGGTAATTCCTCAGTGCTTCAGAAGGAGTTGAGAGAATCCACTGAAAGAGGCCAAATCCAACAGTTTAGGACCACACAGCAGCACTAGATAACAGTTCAGGTTAAAGGAAGGCACCTGTTTCCACACAAATCATTAATGGCCTGGATGGATTTCAGCTGATACTTTGAGTGAGAAACTAGTCATAACTGAATGCAATTACTGCTACAATGATTTTTGTGACTTAAAGTGGAACAGAAGTCCTCTGCCAATGATTAAAGCCTTTATCATATAAAAAAGTATCAAATTACTTCAATATCAAGCAGAATGGTAATGAGCTCCTCTGTATAACAAGCAAAGGTCATTTGCAGTGCAGTCTTTTAAGATTATACTTGCCCAACAGAGATTTCATTTCCAAGGCTAATCTAGGGTTTTTTCCTTTTCCTTTTTTTCTTACAGACTCTCTCAAAAATTCAGTAAGTGAAGAAAGGCAGAAGAGAACTACAGTAACCAACTGGCATTTAACACAAATTTTCTGAAAGATTAATTTGGCAACAAAATGCAGGCAACACAATGTCATGCTTTAACTGGTATACAACTCATTCTTCTGAAGATGAAGATGTCTAATGCTCCATAACCTATTTCTTCAACCATCTTCTTTCCCCACTTTATCTGCTTCCAACATACTATGACTGAATGTAGAACTTTGTGTATGTGTGCACACGACTGAAAGTAGTTGATTATTCCTTCAATCACTGGACACATCTGATGTTCCCAGAATCCCAGTGTACCCTGAAAATCCCTCATTGCTTAGCAGTTATTTAAAAGCTTTTGTAGCAACTAGTACTAGCTATAGAATAGAGACCAAAACTGGTTTTAAATGGTATTAGCTCTGCTTGTCCTGAAGTAAGCTCATCAGCAGTTGCAAACTCACAGAAGAAAACAGCTTTTCTCCTGAGATCAACTATTTTAAGCACAAACTGGTAACAGCAGCATAAACAAGAATAATCACAAAGATTCCATCAAATTCAGTGCAATGATATATCCTCTGTCAAATTCTTCCTTCTTTGGCTTGATTTTTTTTATAGCAGAGAAGAGCTACAAAGTATGAAGGTGTTATCCAAACTGTTTTTCCACACAGATGTGTAGCTTTTTCTGTGATTCACACTTCACACATCTTTAAAATAAAATTTACAGTTTCTCTGAAAAGAATTAGTAATTAATATAGTATAATTAATTAGCATAATTCTACCACTGCCAGAACTTCTCTCTGAAGACCTTTAGAAATATTAATTAGGCATATATAAAAGGATGAGAAAGGGATTGTCCCAAAAACTAGTTCTGTATGCCTTAACACATGGCAATTGTATAATGACAACTACTGAATGCAATTAACAAGTCAGGTGAATTACTTCTCTTTAGCTTCCTTTTCATATATTAACTTCTAAATATAGCAACTTCAATTAGATACTGCATGATCATTATTGGTGCTGATTTGACCTACAGCTCCTATGACATATCTCAAAGACAATCAGCAAAATCATTCAGAACAGCAAATAGTGGGTTTTGGGCTTTTTTTTTTAAATGCTATGTCTGGCCGCTGAATTTCCCTCAGTGTTACTCTGTTTACTACACATTTCTCTACCGTTCAAGACTTTGATGTGAAACTCATTAAACTTCTTTGGTCACTTTCACAACCATGTAGTCAAAAAATCACCACTGAAAACAATGCTTTAGAAGCAAGAATAATGACACTTCTGGACAGATCTCATAGTAATTTCCCATTTGTAAGGATGATGTATTGTCCTACCTATGCCATTTTAACAATTTTAGTGAAGTATTACAGCAATTCAGTGTTTATATAAACTCTAGCACACCATTTCCCATAAACTATTCACCTTTAAAAGAGCATCTACATATACATTGTGCTGTGACATGATTTCCTTCACATCCCATTTCACATTAGCCATGAGAAGAAGCATTTGTTCATAATCAATGGCTTTAGCAGCAACAATCCAATAAACTGGTTTACGTAGTTCACTGGCAGTTGACACTGTCTGGAATAGAAAATAAATAAAATTCATTTCAGTAAGAGCAGCATATAACTATGATATAGAAGTATTTTCACCATAACGTACAAGTTTCAAATCTTGTGTATGAAAATCAGCTGTGAATTACACCATTCTGACCTGAGAATAGAACTGCTGAAGAAAAGGCTTCTTGGCAGCTGGCATCACTGCATCAAGATGAGGCTGAAGAAATTCAAACTGCTCAGCCAGAAATACCCTTTGAAAGCAAAGAAAATTTACTGTGAACTAAGTGCAATGTTTGGCATGTCTCTTTACTCTACAGCTGACATATCTGGCAATAACAATATGCAACCTTGGAAAATTTAGTCCCGAGAAGAACCGTATCAGTTACGTGCCAGCATATCAACCAGCAGTCTCAATTCTGACAATTTTAAAACATATTTGCAAACAAGAAAATATTTTAATAAAGAGACTAAGGCTTGAATATCAAAAATTCATATTTCTATTTTTCTGAGGACACACTGCAAAAGTCTGAGCCAAGGTCTACTAAAGTCAGTGACCAAGAGTCACACAATTTTCACCGCAGGACAGTCAACATCAATATTAATAAATCCATCATAGAATTTCAAAATAACATTCCAAATAAATTTTATGCTAGTGAATCCATAAAACAGAACTTGATCTCATATTCCTTCTCAGGAGTAGAATTTGTTAATAATTACATAATAAAGAAATATATTTCTAACTAAGCATAAATGAAAAAAAAAATTAAATTAATTCCTAAAGTGTCATCTCATGTGAGGAAAAATTCATTCCTAGCTGACTCTTACTATTATACTTATCAAATAAAAATCACTTTGTTACATTTGCATTAATTCTTTATAATGCCTTCTTCTCCTGAGGTGTGACATAGGTACACTGCTACCCATTGCAAAGAAAATGGTGATTCAAGCCAAACTGATATGAACTAAGCAGTTCTGAGTCAAATATTTAGTATAAGGTGAAAATGAACCATAAAGATTAAATATTCCCACTAGCCTCTTTGAAATTAAACTTTTTCATGATAGTTTTGGCCAGGTATTGTCACAAATTACAGGCTCATCTGCAGTAAAATTTCATTTCTTGTGTTTGCATGTTGCTAGACTAAAGAATTAGACTCCAGTACGTTCAATTAAGAAATCACCTTTATCACTCATACTTAAAATCCCATTGAGAGGTAGGAATTCTTGACCTGTCTAGAAGGCTTTGAAATGTAACCACAATTTCTTAAACTATCAATAGCTTTCAGTGATCACAAATACAGTGTGTACAGTAAACAACCTACAAGGATTCCGTGGCCACCACTCTCTCTGCCAAGCCATACAGCGAATTGCCAGATGTCAAAACTACAAGATGACTGAGATGTGGGCTTGGCACCTTCTCTTTTCTCTCTTCAGCAGCTGTGAGAGTCCCTGAAGGATCAGCAGACACCTCCTGAAACAAAGAATTACACAACTTACACTCCACAAAACCAGCAAGGATGGCTCCAGCTGAACAGTTTCAGATGCCAGATAAGGTGAAGGAATGTTTCCAATTCTAGGGTGTAATTTAAATCAAGCCTATTTTTATTTAAACAGTATAGTGAAATGGGTGAAAAAAATCAGATCATGTCAATCAGTAGCCAAGGAAAAAATAAGTTAAAAGGCAGCAAACAATCTTCTCACTATGCCTTAACCCCCTAACAGGCTTTAGCCCAATTCCCTTCCTTTTGGGAGACTGACTTCTCATCCTTGGAGAAAGTATCTTCAATCTGACAGCAACCAAATAAAGAGACATATGAAAGAAATGTTACTTCTGCATGGGCTTTACGGCTTATACGAGCAGTGGCTAACTTAGGTAAAAAACAGCCAATGTTCTCAATCACAGAATCACTAGGTTGGAGGACTCCTTCAAGATCATCAAGACCAACCCATGCCCTAACACCTCAACTAATCCATTCCATGAAAACTTCTATTCTGAAGACATCCTGATGATAGAAAGTAAGGAAATATTCACAGCAAAGGAGTAGAATCTATAGTGAGAAACAGGTTATACCTGTGCCTTGTTCCAAAATTAAAGGAAGAAAATAGAGGAAAAACTCTACTCCCACATTTAAGGAATCTAACCACAGGGTACAGCTAGAAGAAGAATCATAGAAGGAATAAATTCCCAGAGCAGATATACCAAGGGTCACCCTCTGAAGCCTGGCTATTTCCCAGTCTTCAGAAGGTTTCAGGGCATGAAAACATAAAGGTAGTTCTGGTTGGCTTGAATTAATTATTCATACCATGCTTATACACAGGCCACAGGAAGATAAGAAATGCTACAAAGGAAAGGCACAGCACCCAGAACAGGTAAGAAGACAGGCAGGATATGGCACTGATTTTAGTAAGAGCCTTTCAAGATCCTGGGGATAGAAACCCTGGCCAGAGTCTACAGTCTATGGATGCTACAACATGTCAGCCTGTAAGTATGGAATGAAAACAAATAACAGTAGCAGTGATAAAGTAGTGGAAAAAATAACTTTCACAAAAGTAAAATCAGTGGCTAACATGGCTGCTGTAAACAGCATAGGAACAACCAACCAATATGACAATAATAATGCTTAAACATAACATTTATGTTTGGACTCAAAAAAACAAATTAGTGTAATTCTGAAATTGCAGTTAAACAAGGGAAAACGATAAAGACAAAAACAATGTAATGAAAAAAAGCAGCTTTCAGGTTTGTGAATTGTTTGTTTGTTTGTTTCAACTAGAGATAGAAATAAAACCAGAGGAAATTGCAGTGAAGTAACTACAGAAAGAGGGAGAAAGACTCAAGCTAACCAGAACAGTAGCCATGAATTTCTTCTGGGCTCCACAGCAGAGGACAACTGTGAGAAGTGACTTGAAATAGAATACTTGCTATTCAAGCAGATTTTGTTTGGACACTTTTACTTATGGAGGAGAGCAGTGAGCACCTGAAACAGTGGTGGAAATTAGTGGTGTCACTCATTCTATATGTCAGGATTGAGACAAAAAGGAATATTTCATTGCAGACCTTGAAACACCAAGAGGAGAAGTATTGCACATACGATCAGTTGAAAACTGGAAAATCAACAAGGCAGTTATTCAGATAGCAAAATATCTGACAGACCCATTGTGGTAGTGTTGCAGCAATTAAAGGTAGGGCAGGTGAAAATTGATTATGTCAAAATGTGTAAGGACCTGGTGAAAATTTAAGTGATACAGGATGAGCAGAAAGATCAAAACTTTGCTGCTATAGACAAAGCAGCACCAGAATGTGTTTACTGCCTGGATGAATGCCAAATCAAAAGTGGCATTAAGAATATAAGACAACTGAGAAGATAATAGCGACCAAGCTGCTAAAAGTGGTTTGAGGTGTGGAGGAACAAAAATTCACAAGTTCTACTTTAACTCTCTCATATTTTATTTGGCAGTTTCCTCCTGTGGTGTGACAGCCCAAGGCAATAGGAGGTGGATTTGCTATATCAGCAAGGCTCTTTTGGTTCTGCATCTCCAGAGACGTCAAACACAAACATAAAAATGGGCTACAGCAGATGGAACAATGCACAGTCTGGGAAAGCAGAGCTCTCACTAACAAGGGTGAGGAAGTACCTTCAGACTTATTAAAAAAATATTCTAATTAGGTTACAGACATAAAAAGCCAATAAAGCAGGGAACCTTGATGGTTCCCCACAGAAATTCTGACACTAAAATCAAGGACTGCTGACTGAGAAATCAACACATCATTTTAGCACTAAAAGAACTCACAGAAGTACATCAGTAAGCAGAAGATAAAACTTCTAAAAGAAGCTTATGGCAAATGTGATCAGATACAATTGCACTGACCATAGGAACTATTATAAAGGCTAGCTACAATGTTATATTATTTGAAAAATTAATTTTCTTTGCTCTGATCTGTGTTTGCACTCAGCCAGATAAATCTGGAATTAAAATGACTAGATGCTTCACAATACTATGATGTTTGCATTCTGCTGAGTTTATCAGAATGGATAAGCAAGCCAAAGGGCCTGGATATTTGCTAAAGATCCTGTGATCTCTTTCAGAGCGTTCTAAGGTACTTCCTGAGCATATCCACATGTTTACTGCAGATAGGCAATGACATCTAACCATCTAGCCACAACAATTAATTCTTTAAAAACATTAACTAAGGCAAAGACAATATTGATTAATTATTAAAATTTCCTCTTTATCTGTCCACTCTTTTACTTTTTTCACTTCATTCCATTCTCAGATTAAAAAAAAAACAAACAAAAAAACCCACCCAAAGCAACACAAAAAAACCACAAAAAACCCAACGAACAAAAAATTTTAAAAATAAATCAATTTTAAAGTGTTTACATGACAAAAGCAGCAAAACCCACAGCTAACCAAGCTATGCTGTATCCCTAGGAGAGACAATGAGTGACAGAGCTGGGGGAAGAGTATCAGTAGTAAACATTTAAGAAGCTTTCTTTCTTTCAAAGACTAATTACAAATTATGTAAAAGCCAAATATTATGAAGACTTCATTTTGTATTTATCTCACTTCAAAGTTTCGTGCCACTTCAAACACATTTTAAACTTCTTTTTCTTCCTTTTTGCTTCTCCTAAATGTAAGTAACATCTTTTAAATGCCAATAATGTGCCAAAAGGTACATGAGAACTGGCTAAATCAGAGATAATGCTCCCTTCAAATAGGGAGTCAAACTCTGGTTCAAATATCGTGGCCAAACAGCATGAGCATTTCATTCTCCTAATTTGTTCTGAAAAGCAGGCACTGCAAAAGCATGTTGAAAGCAAAAAGCAAACAGCCAGTGTGCCAATACCCCAAAGAAGCACAGGCTCACTCTGAAAGGGTCTTAGTGATGCATGTGTTTTTTCCTCCTGCCTTCATTAACAGAAATGATCAAATGACTGAAAGAGGAAAATAAAGGGGCAAAACACACAGGCTGGAACAGGAAAAAAGGCTACAGACTATTTAAAGAAATCAGATGTTTTTCAGTGTACTGGACTTGTTAAAGTTAACCCTTCCAGTAATGAAGAAAATCTGCAAGAAAATGTCTGTTGCCAGTGATTCCCTCTGTATACCACAGCAAACAAGCAGGGTCCTGTAAAACTGCCGGCCTCAAGAGGAAGAGGAAGGGAGTAGAAGCCAGAAAATTAAATAGCAGCCAGTTGAACTTTAATTTCAAGAAATGTCAAGTTACACTGAGAACATATTGTAGCACCCAGCATTAAGCATGCAGAGAGCAATACTAAAGCAGAATAAACTTGCTTAGCTCCTCCCTGCATCAGAGTAGCAGGTCCTGCAGATCCAGCAAAACTGGGAAATGTCAAAGACATACCACGGCCCACACAACATCTGTGTAAGAAAACTGCACAAAATAGATTTGATAAAATAATTTCAAGGTATACATGGAACTGATGCAAACTACAAGATGCTCTTCTCCTTCCTGGCCAAAAAAGAAAAAACCCAAAGTGTTAAAAAAAATTTAAAATATATTAAAAGCACCAGACTGATCTGAACAATAACCAAATGAAATACAGCAGGCAGAGCAGGACAGGTTAACCAGTACTGCCTGCAGACACCTTACAGCAGGTCTTACCTAATACATTTTCTGTAGTCTTAGTGTAATTTCCTCATACTGTCACAGGAAAAGAACTGTATGTTCTAATGCTATACATGATGGGCATACCCAACTAGCAATTATTTTTACAAGCTGCTTTGCTATAAAGACCTGAAAATATCAGGATGAAGTGTTAAAGCAGGCTTATGGCTGGTTCACCTATTTAAGGGTTGCTAATAACAGTAGTATGAGCTCCAGTGTATGCTTTGGGAAGTATCTTTTCAAGATACCTACAGTTGAATTAAAACTCATCTGGAACTGTTTTTACAACAAAAGGGTGTGTATTTGCAAATAACAGGTATCAGATGAGTGGGAGTGTTTAATTGTTTAATTGTTGGGTACTTCACTTTATCATTTAATTGTTTACACCCAAGAAGAAAATTTTTAATGAACAGGTAGAAAAATAAAATCTATCTGTGTAAGGAACAAGCCTCTCCTTCAATCTCTTTTAAAAATGTCATCTGTAACAAGAGAACATTTTCATTTCAAGTCTGGCTGAACCCAGAGGCAAGCTTTTGTTAAGCCTTCCATCTCAATGTGAAGAGGAGACTATAAACTAATTACCTAAATTGGAAGTATAAACTATATAATTATCAAAGTTAAAAATTTGACATTTAATTTGCAAGAGAGACATTTTTACAGGACAGATCTCATGAGAACAAAACCACTTTTATTTCAGTTATCCAGAAGAACTTACGACTGAAGCAACTGATTATCTGCCAATTATGGTGAAATAGTTGACAGTTAATTACAATCATCCACCTCCACTAACTTTAAACAAAAACCAGTAAACTCTACAACCTGTCCCCAGCACAAAAAGT